CAGCAGGAAAGTTGAGTTCTTCAGGCATTCAGATGCATTGCAACAATTGCAACACATACCTCTTGGTATCCAAATATCAACAGGGTCAGATTCACAGCAATCAACGCCATACAGGAAAGACTAAGAGGGGTGTAAAACCTCAGAGCACGGCCAGCACCAAGTCAAGATTCCCCAAACTTGTAGCAGAGCATTGCACTACTGCAGAAAGACACAACCACAAGAGAAGAGGTACAGGCCAGGTTTTCAAAAGCTTTTGCTGGCATGTTTTGAGGTGGAATGGGCACCATGCAAGCAGCTTCTGCCAACACAGAGGAGCCTTTGCCTATTGCAATCATACAGGTCTCAAAAAAAGGTACCAACATTCTTGTCAGAAAAGCTCCCAAGTATGTCAAGTAGGACTATGAAGGGATGCCCTGTAACTCTACACAGTTCCATCCCAGCCTTAAAACTTCTGTCTCTAAGTGTTAAAAAAACTCCTAGTGGTTTAACCAGAACATATCCATCATATGGGAGGGAGAAAATCTCACCAAATTCCATCATGCTGCTGGACTTTGAAGAAGAAAGCAGCAAGAGTGCTCTCTGCAAGATGTGTTACTTTCTGATGGTATTTTTACAGAAGACAGAATTGGTTTCATGCTATCCTGCAGCATGATCAAGGGCAATGTAAGGATTATAATTATGTGAATTCTATTGCTACCTGTCACAAGTGTGATAAATACAATGCATAATTAAACAAGTGATATCTAGACTGCCTGGAGGAAACAATTATTTAGTGCTTTCACTAGGACAGACTAATTTCTCTCTCATTTTTTCATTTCTCAAATCCACTGAAAATCAACAGCTCTATATTAGCCTTGGTGGCTGTAGCTGCCCAGGAGCTGCCCACTGGGAACAGAGCCAATGTGCATTGCCAGCCAAGTGCCCACCTTGTGAGTACAGAAGGATCTGCATCTCCAGAAGAACACAGGTGAAGACCTGGACCAGGTTCTCCAGTCCCAGCAGCTCAAAGACCTCCCGCAGAGGGTAGTCAGACAGAGGCAGCTCATTGGGCCCAGGTCTCTGGCAAATGATGGGCTCATAAACCCCATAAAACTTCAGTGACCTCCCTGGGGGTGGCAGGGGCACCTCGTAGAGGATGTTGTGGATGTAGCTCTCCAAGGGCAGAGGCGGTGGCTGCTGGGAGGTCACTGCCTTGTAGAGCTGGATCAGGAACTTCTTGCAGGCTTGCATGAAGGGCAGAGGGGTGATGAGACATATGCATTTGGAGACGTACAGCGTGTCTCTGCTGATGTCATAGGAGTTGTACCGCTGGAGCTTGGCGAGGGAAGTGGCATCGCCCTCGTCAGTGCTGCTGGCCAAGGAGTCCATGCTACATGAGGAGGAGGCGCAGACGCTGCTGTATTGCTCTGCATTGTGCATCTGGTAAAGTGTTTGCATGGCTGTGCAGATCTGCTTGCTGGTGACCTCCTCATAGAAGGTGAGCACAAAGCCGTACGTACGAGAGCCATCTTCTCTGGTGATGATGAACGAATGGAGCTGCGGATCTCTGTTATCTGCCTGTGTCCTGAAAGAGAGCCCTTTGGGCATACACAGCTGAGGGAAGAGAAAAGAAATAGATATAGTTATCTAAGCTACAACTTTATTTTGTTACTTCTGCTTCACAGGCACTTTCTTTTTTTCCACCACACCATAACATAATGTAACCCCCTTGAAAAGCAGCCCAAGAGCAAACAGCCTAAAACTGATGCTACTTACAAGAAGAGGTAGGCACGACTGAAGAAAGGAAAACATCCCCCCAAAACCACCCATCTAATAAGTCATTATGACTTATTTCCATTACTTTATAAAATGCTTTTCATTACTGAATAGCCTTTGTCTTATTTACTTAAGCATCACATAAAGGCATCCAGTTTGTTCTCATTTGCAAACATTGTTCCCTCAGCACTCTAAAATCAGAGAGCCAAGGGAGCATCTTATACCACTGAACTAAAATTACAGACTTCTTGAAATCTTTGATCTTCCCTAATTTTCTTAAAAGAAAGCAAAACAGTTGACTGACAGCTATTACATTTATTTCTCCCTTAAGTGCTACAAAATAGCTTACATTAGCAGAAAGAAGAGGCATGGGGGTGGAAACACCCAGAGTCTATGAAAGCCTTGTTTTTTATTTACCACTCAGCAAAATCTTTTGCAGTGACTCTGCTACACTGGGTGTTTCTCTGAAACATAGCCCTAGTGATAACTTGAGGCATTTTTCCAGGCATTCCTCAGGAATTCTATCAGCCTTCTAATACAAAATAACAAACAACCAGCAAAAGGTGTTTGAATGTGTGGCAGCATGAAACTCTTTATGTTCTAGCTAAATCAGTATGTTTATAAATTAAGAACTCAAGCTTCCTTTTTACCTTTACCTTCCTTTACCTAACAAAAGGAAACAAGAGAAGGAAACCCTTCCAATTGGTCCTCCTGCTCCAAAAGGCAACACTAGAAGCCAACTTTTCCAAGGGATGTGAACCTACATGCAGCTGAGTGCATCCCCTAATGTTTCACCCTGACCAGGAGTAAATTTTTCTGATGGTGGAAGAGATCAGAAGAAATATTTTCAAATATATCCTACCCTGGACCTCACAAGTGCATCTTACATAGATCATTCAACAGTCCAATAAAGCTTCTACCAGCCCAGCTGGGATTAGGCAAGTGGTCCAGACTCACTTCACAACATGTGAACAAGTCTAAGTCATCCTGGACAGATTCATCAAAAAGGTCATATATGGGGAAATAAATAGCCTGGAGTTGGTAGAGGAATTCAATTCAATTGATGGACTTTGCTGACATAACACATCAAATTGCAGCTCAAACCATTTCTGAACAGGTTTATAGTTTTTTATTGAGCTATTAACAGCATTGCCATGGTTAAGGCCTCTCCAATGCATAGTGAAAACCACTTGTTTCACACTTCATTTAAACTTACTCTGGATAATCAATATCTCTTAACCTAATTTTTTTGACAGGCTTGCTTAATAAAAACTTATTTCTAGAATGTGGGCATTTGATGGTGGCTGCAGCCTTATCAAGTCTGATTGGACTGAATTCATAGGTTTTAATCTCAACAAAGTTTTTATTTTATCCACTTTACAGAAAAATACCCAGATAAGCAAATTTTATTTAGTGGTACAATCAAGAACAGGCAAGCATCAAGGAAATTCAGACCAAGCTGAGACAGTTTCAGAGGGCTGCATTAAATATATTTCCTCCAAGTCTTAATTATGACTTCCTCATCCTTTGTATATTGAATATACACACATAAAGGACACCCATCTATTAAGTTTCAGCCACAGCCCAGCATATGCAGAATATCAACATTTTAAGGCTGCAAGCCCTGGCAGAGGAACTGTTGCTGTCTTTAGCACTACAAGAATGTCCTGGTTTGAGCCAGGATGAAGCCAATTTTTCTTTTTAGTGATTTTTTTTTTTCCTTCAGTGAGCTTTCTTTTAACTAGCAACAGTGTGTTCTGCTAGGCTGATAAGACAGTGGAATGTTTTCCTAACTACTGAGGCTTCAAGGCTGCACCTGCACTCTGCCGGCTCAGACACTATGGGGAGATCTGTGACCCCCCCGTAGGAGGCTGAGATAGATGGACAGCAAAATTGGCCAAAGATATTCCATTCCATATATCTACGTAAGCTCAGAGGAAGGTCAGAGATCACAGAAGACAACTTCCTTCCTTCTTCTTCCCCCCTTCTCTTCCGTCCATGGCCGGCGTCCAGGGAGGACTCTGTTCATCCATCACCGTCGACCCTTAGGCTCGAGATCTCCTGACCCCCATAACTCTCTGCTCTTTCTCCAGCAGCAGCTCCGGGATTCCTTGGGACTCTTCCCAGTTCAGGGAAGTGCTGTGGGAGTTGCTGGGGTGGGGGGAGGCGAGAGGTTTTTGCCCATTCCTGAATATATTTGTATATAATTGTATATATTCTCTTGTATGATTTATTAGTGTTTTAATTAAAGCTGTGTAGTTCAGTTTTCAATCCAGCCAAGTCTCTCTCTTTTTCTCTCTCTCCTTCCCTACCTGGGTTGGGGGGAGGAGGGGATCGAGAGCATTGTTGTCGGACCTGAGTCAAACTGTGACAGAGGAATGAAGGAAAAAAAGCAGAGAGAAAAAGAAGCTGGGAAAGCACCAAGGCAAGGAAGAATGACCAAGAGCCACTCAGGAAGCTAAGATCAAAATGAAGGGCCTGGGCTCATTTTTCAGCAACACAGAAAGCATCACATTTGCTGTTAATGCATAAAAACTTTCATCTTAGTGCCTCAGGCATCACTCACTTCCCATCTCATCTGTGTTTGTCACATGCACCATAAGAAAGTGTTGGAAAACAGCTTGGGACGTGGCTGGAAGGTGAAAGCTTTGCCTGCTGGTGCAGCTGGCACATTACTTGCAGAACAGCCACAGAAGATAGTATGTGACATAGGCAGCAAAAACCACAAAAAGCAGTGGATGGAAGGGAATACATCCCTATTAAAAAGAACTCTGTACTTCAATACGTGCTTTGAAAGGGAAGAGAAAACATGACTCGTAGGCAGAGTGATTGCTTGGGTCTTCAGGGGGTTATTTTTAAAGTGACAGGATGGTTTCAGAAGGCAATCAAAATTCCTTAGGCATCCAGTAAAGCCAGACTTCTTCCAGGTTAACCTTCAAGGATTTATGCATTTTCTTCTCTGAGGAAAATTGCTTCTGGAAGCTCACATTAAGCAAACACATAGGCAAAACTAATACAGCAAGGCAAGATCAGAAAGGCCAATAATTGCCTCTAGGGATTCTGTGGAGGTGGATATTACTCTAAATGATGTTTCAGATCAAAACAATACAGAAGCTTTGCAAAAGATTACTTAAAAGACCATTAAATACTGCTGCTGTTAGTAAACGCTTTTCGTGTTCTCCAAGACATATTGCAAATGAAAGATGTGTTCTTCAGCTATTCAATTGAAGCTGAATGCAGCTTGGTTAAATTATTTTAATAGGTCTCCTGCTGGTTTTAGTATTCCATTTTTGTCTGATAATATGATCACACTTCATGAATATTAGACATTTTCAACTCTAGTGTTAGAAACAAATAAGGCAGTAATTCCAGCTATTGCCTCTTGCTGCCATTTTCCTGCTGCACACCCACCACTTCTCCTCTGAACACTCTCAATTCAAGGGCAGAACTGAAAGGCATTAAGTAGCCTTGGTAGTTGAGTTATTACCACCTTAACTGTGCTGATGAACATGATTGTGAGTTCTTCATGTCTCCTGTATAAGTAAAATGATATGGAGATCTGCCCAAATACCACACCATCTCCATCAGTGCACGTTTGGAAGCAGAGGACCAAAATCCTCAGCTTTCAGTGAGCAGAGGGAGTGACCAGACTGATCTCTGCCTCTCTATGCATGTGCAGTGCCACAGGATGACCTCTGTTGCTGCTACTTCCAGCTGCCATGTTTTCAAGGTAAATATTTGGTGCAATGCTAAAATATAAAATATAGCGAAAATTGAGCTGAACTTCAGATATCTACATCTTCGTGATGGCATAGAACTTCCAAATGCATTTTTTGCATTTGCAAAACCCACTTTATTGTGGGTTTTATGTGTTCCCCCTCTCTCTATCTCCAGGGTGAAGACAAGGAGATTCTGTTGACTTCATACCTGCTACATTGTTTGGATCTGTTTTGAAGCAGCTAGTGTGTAGTCCTACCCTCCTCAAATGTGAAGCACATCTAAACTATGTTGGAGGGAAGCAGTTCACTAACGTTCCAATTTTAGGCCCAAGCCACATTTTTGCAAACAGCTGGAATTGGTATTATTATTTAATATTTTATAACTGTTTACTTTCAAGTTATAAAACTAATAGCATTTGCTGTACTGGGAAGCTTACCTCAATGACCAGTAATCTCTTGTCTTTGTCAGGACTTGTTCTTAAAAAGCGCTTTGGTGATTTTGGAAACGCCATATCTTTGGGAAAATTTCCAGTAGATCACTGATCTATTAGTTCACAGAATGGTTTGGTTTCCAGGGGACCTTAAAGATCATCTGGTTCCAACCCCCCTGCTGTGGACAGGGACACCTCCCACTAGAGCATATTGCTCAAAGCCACATCCAACCTGCCCTTAAACACTTCCATTGATGGGGCCTCCACAGCTTCTCTGGGCAACCTGTTCCAGTGTCTTACCACCCTCATAGTGAAGAATTTCCTTCTAATGTCATTGCCCTCATAGAAAACTCCAGAAACTGTTCTCGCCTCCCTGTTCATGGGATTTAGACAAACTCACATCAAATTTAGCTGAGAGGAAAGAGATGTACAGAAAACGCAGGAGTGTAGAGGTGCCATTAAAAGTGGCCACCCAATAGAAGCCATGGTTTAAAGTAAGTTCCAGCTTCTCTGTAAAGATTCCTCTCTCCTTTGACATATTCAGCATCAAGGTTTTTGTACTCAAAAATTTCACACAGATAGTAGTATCTTAAAACATCCCTTGGTTCAACTCCTTCCCACCTGCAGATGTGCATGCTGGGTGACCACACCCCTTCCCAACCAGTCTCTGAGCTGATGGTTAGACTTGTTCCATCACATGGTAGATTTAACTTGAACTAATAAGAGAAACACAGGAATTTTGTTGTTGTTGTACCTGAAATTATCCTGCATTTTCACCTTACCTCTTCCTCTACAGCTTTTCAACCAGCATGGCTAGTGGGTCCTTTTAGTCCCAGCAGAAGTGCCTGTTCATCACATTACACGGGCTGTTTGTGAACAGTCCAGGAACCACAAGAGAGCTGAAGTTGTCAGGAAACAGCTTGAGAAGAAGGTAGTTTCTCTACCTACCATGTTGACAGCATCCTGGTCAAAGGGATTCCACTCGATGTTCTGAGGATAATGGGCCAAAACTTTGGACTTGAATGTTCTTCTTAAGGGACTCTGGTCAAAATTCTCTCCTGCAAGAAATGAACAAATAATGACTTGTCACAGCTGTAAGGCTTCAGAGAGAGCTGGCCTGGGCAGTTTTCTTTCACTTAGTTGGGGTTTTTATTGTTTGCTTTGTTGTGGGGATTTTTTTGTGAAATCCGAAGGGCATTTTCACTCCAAACAGATGTACTACTTTTAAAAGAAAACCAGAAAAGGTTCACATTCAATATGATCTTATAACAAAATCTTACTACAGCTGAAATACAGCTTCCAGCTTAGTATTTTCTGCATAGAAATTTACAGTTAAGAGCAAAATTAATGCTGGAGTTTTACAGAAAAAAGAACCTACAATCAACTCAGTTCCTTACCTTCCCCTGTAGCTAGAATATCTAGAGATGACTTGGCTTAGACACTAAAAGTGCACTTGAGGGAAAGTTTCTTAAAAACTTACAGTCAATAAAAAGTATGAGCACCTCTCAGCTATTATACATTATTCAAGGCTTCATTATAGATATTTTTATATCACAAGTCCTGTGTGAAGATTAAGCATATTCTTTTCTCTACATTAAATTTCAAGGACAGACTTTTTCCACACAAAGAATCCAGTAAGTGCAAAGATGAAGACTGAAATCAGACTTCAAGGAGAAATGCATCCAGTTACTAGCATACAAATAGTGCACTTCACAGTGATATTGTTAATGGAGTTTGCACCATTGAACAGTCTACAGTATGCAAAATAGCAATCAAAATAAGTTGTTCTTAAAATCTATTCAGTATATTATGACAATCTCTCAGATATCAGGTTACTGATTGCAGGTTTCTTGCTTTAAAGACTACAGGTAGGTCATCCCTGTTCAGTTCCTTTCTCACCCAAGAGACATGAATGGGATTAAAGCCTTAAATTCACACTGTTAAATGTTTTCACCAAACCTTACTTTGCATTCAAAGGTGCTTTTTGGGACTTCCTAGTGCTACATAGATACTTTTAAAAATACATTACTGAAATAGAATTAGATTTCTTCTCTTGAAAATACATATATTCTCTCTCTTTATATTTAAAGGCAGAACCAGTATTCCATAAATATTTTTAATGAGAGATTATTTTGGATTAAAAAATATTAAACTGCTTGTCAAGCTCTAAAGGCAATCCACTGTTCCTGCAGAAAAGTTAAACTATGAGTCACAGCAGTATAATTTGTGCTTGCCAAGTTACATAGGACAACTCAACCTTCCTGCAGCTATCAGCCTCTGAGCAATGTTGCAAAATTCATAGGTCAGTAGCAGTTACCCAAAGGTTTCTGAGGACAAAGCCATTTGGCACATGTCCTTTGCTCCTTGTGAAGTACTGTCCACACAATCATTTGGCTCAGAGTGAATTAATCCAAGGAAACTTCTGTACAAACTGTTAGTTGAAAGCAGAGCTTCTCAGCCTTTGCCTGGAAGAACGTAGGGTCTGCAGGTAATTGTGGGGAACACCAGGGAGTGGAGAAAAACACAGTGGCAATTCACAAGGTAAAAATCATCCAGGCAATTTTAGGAGGGCTGAAAACCATTTGCTGTATTTAACCCATGACACATCTTCATGTAGAAGGCAGAACCTCTCTAGGCTGCAGGGCCAGCCCATGGCAGTGGCACCTGTGAGGCAGAGGATGCAAAGGTTGTGTGTTTCTTACACTCATGCCAGCCACCCACTTGGTCTCGAAAGCAAAGCAGAGGCTTATGCCAGAGCTCCCCTCTGTGAGAACATGTGTAGGCATGTACAGGTGCCTTGAGACATGCCAGTCAGCTGTGCTGGGGCTGCACCTTGCCCCACTGTAGAAGTCAGCTGGGGACCCAGGGGGAGGGGAGCTAACCATCCTTCTAACAGCGCTTGCCTTCAAATGTGAGATTTATAAAAATACCAGTATGCTTAAACAGTGGCTCATTTTTAAGACATTATTTAAACACAGTGCAAAGTTATGTATTCTACCATTATGTCTGTCTCATTTGATTCTGGTGGATAACCATGGGGGAGAAAAGGAAATGAGCTTATACAAGGATTTTTTGTGGCTGGGAGAAGAAAAAGTCCAAGGTGATGCAATGCTGCAGTCATATTTCCTGGGGCAGGAATAGATGGAAATGGTAAGATGTGAGGAGTTGTGGCAAGGGAATCCAGCCTGCTTCTGGAACTGCTCAAGGCAAACCAGAAACCCAGCAAAAATGTATGCATCATAGAAATGAAGAAAACTGTAGGTATCAGCTAAACTGGGTCAAATTATAAGACATGTCGGGGTTTAGCTGATTAGCTCATCACATCTGTCAAGTTGGACCAGACTTGCCTCTAGCTGCTGTGGCAGACCAGAGCACAAGCTCCATGTAGATCCTCTCCATTCTCAGTTACAAAGCTCAGAGTCAAGTACACAAAAGCAGGGACAATTAATTATTACAGAATTTGGCAGTAGAATAACCTCTTAGTTTGGTCCAGGAGTTCTTTGCAGAGGCATTAAAAATACGTCATTCACTCACTTCTAAAGTTTCATAAAATAAAAATCCCAACAAGCAAAGCCAGTTAAAATTCTCTCTCCAGGTATGCACTTAAACATACTTGGCAACATTCTTAATTCTTAGTTTCAAACACTAATTAATGTGCTTGCATAATCGAATAAATATGCGTGAGTTTATTTCCTAATTAGATTTTCAGTCTTTCTTACATCTGACACAGTTTACCTTACAAGTATGGATTAGCAGAAAGGTAAGATATTTGATGCTATATTTGGTCATTTCTAGAAAAAGTCTGAAGAGCATCTGGATGACTCCAGTACATCCTCCACTGCTAACAGCAACTGATTGCAGGAGTCCAAATTTCTCCAAAGGTTTCCTTTTTCATGACAAAAAAAACCAAACCCATTACTATAACCTGATAGATGCTAATTGGGTAATTTGTGTGGTTCTTTGGGAGCCAGTTTTCTAACCTACATCATGTAGGTCTTGTAAAAACATCTTTTGCTTGAGCGATAGCCCCCAGTGATGACAGGGAACAACTAAATTCTTTATCATCTGGTATTAGCACATAACTGTAAATGGAAGTCCATATGCATGTTACTGCATATTAATCACATTATTTACTGTTTCTGACACCTGTGTTCACTTATAGGCAGCAAAGGAACGAGGGCAGGCTTTGCCCTGTGTGCTGGGCATGCTCAGGAGAGCTCTGCTTCCAGCACATCTAAGACATGGTATCTCGGGGGACATGGCTCTGTGTGCTTAGATTGAGTGGGACAGCAAACTGTCCAGGTTTCACCTATATAACTTCCATGTGCACCCAGAGGCAGAGGGTTATGTACCTGGTAACTTTACTTATCTGTTCTGGTTGTACCGTCTAAGTTTGTGGTGGACCAGAAAGGACAGCTGTGGCATGGTGCTGTCCTGCCTTTAAACTGTGCCCTGGTGTTAGAGCAGCACTGGCAGACTCTGGAAGCATGTCAGACTGCTCAGAGAGATTTAGGAAACGATCCTGGAAGGATTCTGCATGGGAAAACACCCTCCTCTCCTAGTTCAGTGGCTCAATTACTAAACCAACCCCACCAGAAAAAGATGTAGTTATTTCCAAGTTAGACCAAAAAATGCATCACTGGGGATATGAGTGGGGAAAGCCTTGATTCTTTGCTGTTCTTGTTACTGAATATCCTTAATCTCATTTTCCCTCAAAACCACAAGCCCACCTTGATGGGCAATATTCTGGCACCATCTGGAGCCAGTAGAGAAGAACTAGGTATATTTGGCAATAAACACTGCAATATTGAGAAACTGAGGGTTCCAATCAAATTTTGGGAATGACCAGTAATTTGTATGTGGCTACAAATATTTGTGCAGCTGTTTAGGTGACAGACACATCTACAAAGTTTTGTGGTTTGTTGTTGTTTGTTTGTTTGTTTTTCAAATATTGCTTTAAGGAATCCAGCTTTCCAAAACAAGAAGTAACAGTGTCCTAGTAGGCTGACAACATGGATTCACTTTATCCAGAAAAGTAAATAGCACAAATAACTTACCTTTGCAGAGTCCCCGCATGGTTTGCATTTTACTACTACAGTGTTTGGGGTTTTTTTTAAAAAAATAAAAATTAAAAGTAAAACACACATAGAAAATACAATTTTCTCAAACAGTGATCATGAGACAAAAGAGAAATGCCAAGAAAGCACACTGGAGTAAATAAGTCATTAGCTCAAAAGGACATGACATGGCACACTCCATACAAAGCTACCTCCTGGGAACCCAGGCAGGTTAACTTTTAGAGGAGATACATAATTTAGGAAAGAAAGAGTACAAAGATAGGACAGAAAGCAGCCAGCATGGCAGGAAACACCCCGGCTCTCACTGAAATGAGACAAGAGACAAGGACTGTGACAGGCAACTCCACATGGACAAGAAGCTGGAAGAAAACCACAGGGAGCAAAACCTTCTTGGCAAACATGAGGGAAGGGCTCTGGACCAAAGGGTAACTGATGTTATCAACTCTCAGCCTTGGTAGTTCTGAACTGCAGAGTCATGTGTGGCAAATAATACTTATTTAGCTGCTGTTCTAGGCAAAGAGTGAATTTTCATTCGATCTATTGTGTGCTTATTTAAGTGCTTGTTCCTAGCTTCCAGAAGAGGATTAAAACAGCACATTAAAAATTAAGCAAGTATCAAATGCAAATTGAATGCCTATTCTAAAATATTAATGACCAGATAACAGTACTATGAGTACAGACAGAAACGTCATATTTTATGTGTGGTATCTGTTCATGTGAACAGCTGTCTCTTAAAATACATTTTTAAATGGTTTTGAATTGAATTGTTTTGTTTTCAGCATATTTTTTAAAAAATCAAAATATTTTAAAAAATTGTATACAATGTGTCAGATTCAAGTTGCATTTCTACACCCTGTGTAAAATCACAGAATGGTTTGGGTTGCAAGGGACCTTAAAGATCATCTAGCTGCAAACCCTCTGCTATGGGCAGGGACACCTCCCACCAGACCAGGTTGCTCAAGGCCCCATGCAATCTGTCCTTGAACACTTCCAAGGATGAGGCATCCACAGCTTCCCTGGGCAACCTGTTCCAGTGTCTCACCACCCTCACACTAAACTCATGTGATGTACTAATGTAATGGTAGATTTAAATAATTTACGCCCTCCCTTAAAGGCACTAATTTTTGAAAGGGACATGTTCTTCCAAATTAAAAGCCAATGGTGAAGTAATGGATCCTAGACCAAGAAAAAAAAAAAATGCAAATTTAATTTCAAAATTAAAAGGCTTATCAAAGTTAGAAAAAAAAAGCATCTTCTATGTTCGGTTGAAGGAGAAAATTACTAGGGAAATGCTGCTACAGTTGTGAGGTTGACAGTCACGATGGCTTTAATGTGAGTGGTCATATTTAAAAATATAGTGATCTTAATGTTTAAGTAGATCTGTTTTAATCAGCTACAGAGGTATACAAAATATGTACCAAATAGGCAGAGGCATCCTGCATCCACACCCTCTGGTCCAGGGAACACGAGCCATCTGTGGCTCTTTCCAAGCTATGGAACGTAGACAGGAATGCTTGTGACCACAGAAATAAAAATATCTTTTATTCCTTTAGAGGACACTACTGAGAGCACGACTATGCACAATGAGAACCTCTTTGATAGCTATTTCTAATTAAAAGTGCTCAGCACATCCAGCTACATTCTTTCCCTGCAGACTGAACTTTGTTTAGCTTATTGGACAACCAGATGACCCTACACAGGAAGTCATGTACAATATGCAAGTGAGAAAACAATATGGGAGCAGGAATAATAGTGCTTGGCTGGGGAGGAAACAAACTGCTAATTGTCAGATTCAGGACCTGGTTAGTTTATGTATTGCAGAAACTATGCTCTGCTGCTTTTCTTTGGTACCTCACCAAGATGTCAAAGTGGCAGCAGTAGGCTAGTTGGAGTTCAAGGACATTAACTCAGAGGCATTACACTTCTGAACATATATTCTTATAATCTTACATCAGAGGAGGGAAATTATATGAAAAGGAGGACTGGGATAAGGCAGACAAAACAGTTTTTATTCCAAAACTTTAAAATCTGAGTTGTCTGTAAGAAGCTGGAGGCTTTTGGAGGAGGCTGGGGAGGGCAGCAAATCTAGCCTACCTCTTGCATGTCAATATGTAAAAGAACTGATGGATCATACTTAAACAGGAAGCCATACTGGGTTGTGCAGCCTATCATTTCCTCTAAGTGATTTGGGTTTTTCTGGGGTGTGCGTGTCTGTGCGGACCTCACTAACACAGCTATTTAAATCTAGATTGCAGAACACGATTCCTTAAGGTGTCAGGAGCCTTTAGGTCTCTGTAGCAGAAACAGATAAAGCTGGACCTTCCAGAACCTTTTGTCCACAAAACTAAGCCAAATTGGATTTCTTGACAAGCATCCTCTAATATGGCCTTAGGCAAGATATTGTTCAGTCTCTATCGAGCACACAAAGATCTGGCAATTTGTATATCCACCAATTTACTTGACATGATTAGTGACATTTCACTGGAGAAAGGAAGACATCTGCCAAGAGAGCTTCAAGAAAAAAAGACTAAAATTTAACAGTTACTGAATTAATTTATCAGATATTGATTTAATTACTAGGTACTTATTTAAATTATCAGATATTGATTCAAAATTCTATTATTAAGAATAAACAATTTGAGGATTTTGGTCTTGTTTTTAATCTCTGACCCTTAGTTTGAGTCAAGGGGAGCTGGAAGAGAGAAAATAAAGAGACAGAGAGGGCCTGGTGATTGTGTTGTTGTTAACCCCTCTTTACCTGAGGCTTTGTCTGCAGTATCTGATCGCTTGCCATGAAGATCTGCTTCTAGCCATTTGTACAAGACTACACAACATAACAAACAGAGATAAAAAAAAAAGCAAGTATGAACAAAATGAGAAGACATAAATGTACTGGGGAAGGGAAAAAAATGTGAAGTAGACATTCAACACCCCCTGTTGCAACCTCTCTTCCCCTCACTACTGCCAAAGGGTAAATGCACGTGATAAATAAAAGCCTTCATGGCTGAATTACTATGAAGGTGTTGAATGCAATGACAGACATTGTAGAAATACTTGTCAAAATTAGTAACAAGATAAGTTTCTCAGTACTTCAATCAACATGGTGCCATACAGCAGATCTGTTCATGTAGTGAGCTGTTGCAGAGCCTGTGAAACTCAAAGGGGAAAAAAACACCAGTTCTTTAACTGGTGTTGAACTAAATCCAAGAGGTTTTCTTCAGTATAATGCTGTTAGACATGTTGCTACACCTTCAATGCTGCATGACATTTTCAGGACTTTCTAAAGTTACCCAATAGCTCTGTTCATAATTTCTGTCTCATAATAGGGTGTTTTTAGACAAAGATTTTAATAAATAGGCTATGTTTATAACTTTGATGAACAACTTTAGCCTCATCCAGTAACAGCTACTCCAATAGGCACTTGTAATGGAAACGTTTCCCACTAGCATATCTGAGGTTTCTTCCAACTGGTCTGTTCACCTCCTGCAGAAAATTAAAAGTGTTTTCACTGACACCATGGCATTCCTTTGACAAAAAAAAGTCCCATTCGCGTGCTACTCAGAGGCATTACACAATTGTTCTCATGTGAAGTCTATTTTTATAAACCTGGATTGTATATGAAAGCTGCAAACACCATTGACCTCTCTGACCATTCAGTTTCTAGGTGTAAATTCAGAGTATTTCCTCTGCTACCTCCTACTTGAGCTGATAATCCAGGGGCCAGTTCAGAGCATGCAGATAATTCTACCAAGACTGTATGTTCTGGGAAGGCATCCTTTGACAAAGGGCACAGGAGCTCTTTCAATAAAGATCTTTATCCTAAAATATGAATTTAGATCTAACTTTCTCACTTCTTAAGGAGGCACCTGTAGATAATCCATATTCAAGTCTGCAGGACAACCTTTTTCCACTCCAGGTGTCTTAAGCTATTTCATTCTACTTTTGAGCCACTTGAACTTAAAAACTGCACAAATATTTAAATGTAAGGAAAAAAAACAGTTGCCAAATCTGGAGACTCCCCTTGCTACAGGCCCACACCCACAGTGCCTTTCCAAGCCTCTCTGCCAGACTGTCCTCACAGCTCTCCCCAGAAGTCCTTTACAGTACTATAATTCAAAGGGTATTTGGCACTGAGCTTCCATGGACTTAGCCACCACCTTTTCAATAGGAATAGCAACAATGAAAGATGTAACAACTCATGAAAGGCACCAGGACGAGTTCTGGTTTTCCTATCCATTTCTGTATTTAGACCATTTAACTTCATCAATCGTGTAGCTGAACAGTCACAGAAGTTACGTAAACTCCTGCACAAGTAGTCAAAATGACAGACCTTTGACAACAGCAATCTAAACACAAAGCTATGAACAGTGTTGTACAGCCTAATTCTTTATACAAACACAAGGTAGCAGAATGACTATTGCCACAAACCAGTTACACCTCGAAGAAGCCCAGTGTTCCAAAAGTTGTTTTAAAAAGATTTGTTCACCTAAGAGTTACTGCACAAATCTGAATAAAGAGAAAAGGGCTAAAAAATAACAAGCAGTTTGCCATAATCCCTTCCTTCTGACCTTGATTAAAATACTTTCTCCCTGCCTACGGAGTAACATTATCCAGCACCAACACGGTGCTTCTTAAAATAGCCCCATCCCAGCTGCCAACAGACCACAGACATCCCACTACTCTAGTAAATAAGAATGAATCACACCATCCCTTTTACATAAAATTGCATCATAATCCTTTAAAATCCAAAAAGTCATGGCTTAAATTATGTTTGTTTGGGTGATTTTTTGCGCAGTGGGGTGGAAGGAGTTTGATAAACAGGTACCTGGGGCACTGTGCTCTGACATAACTACCTTGTAGTCTGTCCCCAAAGGCTGGAACGGATTAGGAGCAGTGGAGCAGGTATAAAACTGGACCTATACTTATTATGCCTTGGGCCTTTATTTGCTGTAGAAATTGAGGTGTGTGGAATTTGCTCAGGCTGTTGGTGCTACCATG